AGAGATGAGGTCTCGCCTGCCCAGGCAGGTCTCGAACCCATGGGCTCAGGCAATCCACTCGCCTTAGCCTCCCAAAGGCGCGGAATTACAGGCTGAGCCACCGAGCCTGGCTCCAGCTGATTTTTAAAAATTTATTGTAGAGATGAGGTCTCGAACCCGTGGGCTCAGGCAATCCACTCACCTTGGCCTTCCAAAGCTCTGGGATTACAGGCTGAGCCACCAAGCCTGGCCAAAATGTTTTTTGAATGGAAAGGGGCTGGGAACAGCTGCTGTGGTTCAGAGATGGCTGGACTCAGGAGTGGAAGTGAGGTTTGGTGAGGGATTGTCAGGTGGGCTTGACTGGGCTTTGGTGATCAGTCTAGTCTGACCCACCTCTGACTTGAGGTCATGGCCTCTAGAGCATGACCTTCCTCTTGATGTTGCTGCTCATCTTCTTCTACATATTTGCTGTGACTGGTATCTACTTCTTCGAGGAGTACACCCGTTCATCTCGCCAGGACCTGGAGTACCACATGTTCTTCTCGTAGGCAGGGTTGGGGGAAGCTTGGGTGAAAGGGGAGAATTTGGGTAAGAGATCTGGAAGCTTGTCCAAAATATAGTAATACAAAAGTATAGTCTATTCTGAAAAACTAAAATAGAATACAACGAGAAGGGGAAAGAGAAAGCAAAGAAATAATGAGTGGTGTTTGTTGTGATGATCTTTTTTTTTTTCTTTTTTTGAGTTGGAGTCTCACTCTGTCGCCCAGGCTGGAAGGCTGGAGTGCAGTGGCACACTCACTGCCACTGCAGCCTCGACCTGTTGGGCTCAGGTGATCCTTTCGCCTCAGCCTTCCAAGTAGCTGTAACTACAGGCACATGCCACCACACCTGGCTATTTTTAATTTATTGTAGAGATGAGGTCTTGCCAAGTTGCCCAGGCTGGTCTCAAACCCCTGGACTGAGGCAATCCTCTCACCTCAGCTCCCCAAAGTGCTGGGGTTATAGGCATGAGACACCATGTTCTGCCTTAGTTGTGATCTTAAGGTGGGACAGCTAGTTCCAGGTTATTCTGCATTTTGCAAATTCAAAACACCCTTATCAACCATCATCAAACATACTTTGTCAACCATCTTTACACAGCAGTATACTCCAGTGGTTAAGCCCTAGTTTCTATGACTCAATTACCTCCTTTGAAAATGGGAATAATAACAGAACTAACTACCTCATAAGAATGTGGGGATAAATGAAGTGATACATTTAAGTATGTAGCACAGTATTTAACACATTATAAATGATCAGTAAATGTTACTGTGACTCTCAAACATGGTCACTGGCTCTATCCCAATCTCTAGGTACAGCTATTACATATGCTTACACCTATACCTATTCAAATGTAAAATCTTGATAAGATTTTTTTTTTTTTTTTTTTTTTGAGTTGGAGTCTCACTCTGTCACCCAGACTGGAGTGCAGTGGCCGCTCCCAGCCACTGCAGCCTCGGCCTGCTGGGCTCTGGCGATCCTTCCGTCTCAGCCTTCCAAGTAGCTGGAACTACAGGCGCGCACTACCACGCCCAGCTAATTTTTGACTTATTGTAGAGATGAGGTCTCCTCAAGTTGCCCGGGCGGGTCTTGAACCTGCAGGCTCAGGCAATCCACTCACCTCAGCCTCCCATGGTGCGGGATTACAGGCTGAGCCACCGAGCCCAGCTAAGATGTCTATTAAAAAGCACTGGTTGCTAGAAGAAAATCAACTTGGATTTAGAGTAGATGATCCTGTTTATGAATTGGGATGCAATCTTGTTAGCCCCTCTCGGGTTTCTCTTACACTCTAACAGGTAGTTTCATTAATGTATTGAGTTAGGAAAGTCCCCAAATTTATCCTATACAAGCCTGATATTTTCAGTAAATTGTATATTGGGGACTAAGAAGGAAAGAAGGAAAATTTAGATAACTTCCTGAGAACCTTATGTTACAAAAGTTTTGTGACAGAGAAACTTTTGTGAACAACGGTTCTCAGGAAGATATCCAAATTTTTTATTAATTTAAAAATAGGGTAACCCCCGGGCTCCCTTCCCACTGTGAGAGCTTTTCTATCCATTCAATAAATTGTGCTTTAAAAAAAATTATTAACTATTAATTGCATACTTTTTATATTACTTGTTTGTGTATATTTATTATCATTCACTATTTGGAATCACATGTGTTTGTGTCACACATCCATCCATTTACTTGCCTATCAGTTCATACCAGTGAACTAAATAGGAATGCTGTTTGCTAAATTTTAAGCCATCTTCTATTAAGTGTAGTCTATAGAGTAGTATGGAATGAACCTAGAAAAAAATGATATCTAGTTGGTGATTCATCCATCTTTAAAAAGTTCAGCTATTATGTGCTTATGCCCCAGGACTAGTGAGAGGTATTCATAGATTATTCTTTTTTTTTTTTTTTTTTAAGAGAGACAGGATTTTACTATATGTCGTCCAGGCCGGAGTACAGTGGTACCGCACAATCACAACTCACCACAGCCTCAAACTCCTAGGCTCAAGCAATTCTGCTGCCTCAGCCTCCTGAGTAGCTGGGACTACAGGCACACACCACCATGCTTGGCTAATTTTTCAATTTTTTTTTAGAGATAAGGTCTCACGTTGTTGCCCAGACTGGTCTTCTGGGCTCAAGCAGTCTTCCCACATCAGCCTCCCAAAATGCTGAGACTACAGGCCTGAACTCCTGTGTCTGGCCTCATACATTATTCTTGATAAAGGAAAACTTAATAAAACACCTTCAAGCTACTTGGAAGACTGAGGTGGAAGGATCGCCTAAGCCCAGCAAATCGAGGCTACGGTGGCCATGAGCGTGCAACTGCACTCCAGTCTGGGCAACAAGAGTGAAACTCCAACTCAAAAAACAAACAAACAAAAAAAAACTTCAAACTGAAGAATGATTAGTGAAAAATTAAATATGATAGACAAAGTCAAAACCAGAACAAAGAAATGCTCTTATGTTGCTTTAAAAGTAAGAATGATATAGTTTCTGAGAAGTTTAGATCTCTGCTTCTATCTATTCACATATTTTTTTCTTTAGGGATGTGCTAAATTCCCTAGTGACGGTGTTCATTCTTTTCACCTTGGATCACTGGTATGCACTGCTTCAGGATGTCTGGAAGGTTCCTAAAGTCAGCCGTGTCTTCAGCAGCATCTATGTCATCCTTTGGTTATTGCTTGGCTCCATTATCTTTCGGAATATCATAGTAGCTATGATGGGTAAGCATAGAGGAGGTGAAATTTGGTGGGAAGGGTGGTCGGGAAGAAATTAGTTTGAAAGCTGGGACTGGTGGATTATGAGTAGAAAGAACCTACTGTAGCAGGAAGACTTGGGTTCTGGAATGGCTATTTCACTTGGTTTCTCCCCACTCAAGCCCTCCTCAAGTCTAGTCACTACCATCTCTCAACTCCTAATGGCCTTATGGGGCAGTTACTAACTTCCAGAATATCAGGAAAGAGCTGAACGAGGAGATGAGACATCGGGAGGCTCAGCACAAAGCTAACATATTCAAGCGGCGGATTATCCAGAGGTCTGCTTCCCCATTTTCAAACCAAACTTTATTTCTCAAGGGTTTCCTGAGATCATTCCCTGTTTCTCCTTGACCTTGACCCCACTTTTCCCTGTGTAACAGAAGATTTGCCCCCATGCTTTAAAATTCTCTAGTGAATGGGTTTGGTGGCTCAGCCTGTAATCCCAGCACTTTGGGAGGCCGAGGCGAGTGAATTGCCTGAGCCCACAGGTTCGAAACCAGCCCAGGCAACTTGGCAAGACCTCGTCTCTACAATAAATAAAAAATTAGCCAGGCATGGTAGCACGTGCCTATCGTTTTGGCTACTTGGAAGGCTGAGGCGGAAGGATCACAGGAGCCCAGCAGGTCGACTCTGGGGTGGCCGTGAGTATGCCGCTGCACTCCGACCTGGGCGACAGAGTGAGACACCAACTCAAAAAATAAAAATTATTTAGCTCTAGAATATTGCCTGATTCTTCATCTACTGTGGGGACTCCTCCATTCTTTTTTCAACCCTCAATTACTATTTGTTCTCCCCACTCAGTTTTCACTTTATGATCTGAGCCCCTTTCTTTTTTTCTCACTGCATTTCTGCTGGAGTATAGCTCTCTTCACTTTTTTGTTTGTTTACTTTGCAGGAGACAAAAACTGTCCTCTGAGGCACTGATATCAAGCCATAGCAAAGTAGATGCCAGGTTAGAAGTGTATATGTGAACTGGGATGGAAACACATGAAAGAAGAGAAGATAGAAAGCCAAAGATAAAGATTAACTTTGAGAAATTTATTCATTCAATAACTATTTATTGTGTCAGTTGAATGGTGGTCCCCAAAATTATGTGTTCTTATCCTAACTCCCAGAATCTGTGAATGTGGATTTGCAGATGTGATTAAGTTAATGATCTTGTGTTGATATCATCCTGGATTATCCAGGTGGGCCCTAAATCTAAGAGAAGACAGACACAGAGGATAGGAAAAGGTGGTGCGAAGATGGAGATAGAGATTGGAGTAATGCAGCTACAAGACAAGGGACACTGAGGCATGTCAGGCAGCTACCAGAAGGTAGACGAGGCAAGGAACTTTCTCCCTTATGACCTCCAGAGGGAGTGCAGCTCTGCCAACACCTTAATTTCAGACTTCTGGCCTCTAAAACAGAGAATACATTTCTGTTGTTTTAAGCCACCAAGTTTGTGGTAATTTGTTATAGCAGCCACAGGATGCTAATAGAAATCCCTTAAATGAAACAGATACTATTATAGAACCTGAATGTTTAGCAGTGGACAAGAGAGCAGAGGAATAAACCAATTCATCCATTAACAAATAATTATTGAGCCGGGCTCGGTGGCTCAGCCTGTAATCCCGCGTCTTTGAGAGGCTGAGGTGAGTGGATTGCCTGAGCCTGTGGTTTCGAGACCCGCCTGGGTAACTTGGCGAGACCACATCTCTACAATAAATAAAAAATCAGCCCGGCGTGGTAGCACGCGCCTGTAGTTCCAGCTACTTGAAAGGCTGAGGCGGAAGGATCGCCGGAGCCCAGCAGGTTGAGGCTGCGGTGGCTGGCAGCAGCCACTGCACTCCAGTCTGGGCGACAGAGTGAGACTCCAACTCAAAAAAAAAAAAATAAATTATTGAATACTTAGTAGGTGCTTGGGATATATTAATGAACAAAATAGACAATAATGCCTGCTCTCATGGAGCTTACGTATTAGTAGGGTGGGTAAAGAGATAAACAACATATTAAATAAATACATTAATATGTTAAAATATGATAGGCATTATGGAAAAATTAAAAGAACAGGTTAAGGGGAATTGGGAGTAGAGGGTGGGGATTGCAGATGGGTTGCATTTTAAACAGGGTAGTCAGGGTGGCCTTACTGAAAAGGTAACATGTAGCCAGGCGCAGTGGCTCACGCCTGTAATCTCGGCACTTTGGGTGACTGAGACAAAAGGATTGCCTGAGCCCATGGGTTCGAGACTAGCCTGGGTGATATGGTGAGATCTCATCTCTACAATAAATCAAAAAACTGCAGTGGCACACACCTGTAGTTCCAGCTACTTGGAAGGCTGAGGTGGAAAGATTGCCTGAGCCCAGCAGGTCAAAGCTGCAGTGGCTGTGAGTGTGCCACTGTACTCCAGCCTGGGTGACAGAGTAAGACCGACTCAGAAAAATAGAAAAGGTGGTAGCGTAAGCAAAGACATGAAGGAGGTAAGGGGATTACCATGTGGATATCTATAGGAAAAATGTTATAGGCAGAGGAAACAGCTAATGCAAAAGTCCTAAGCCAGAAGCATGCCTGAATGTTTGAGAAACAGCAAGGAGGGCATTGTGACTGGAGCAGAGTGGCAGGGGGATGGGTGATGGGAGATGAAGTCAAAGAGATAAGGGGGACCTGATCCTGTGAGGATCGGGAGGCCACTGTAGGGAAATTTTACTCTGAGAGAAGTGGGAAGCAGAACAGAGGAGTGACGTGAAGACTTACATTTAAGAAGGATTACTCTGGTAGCTGAATTGATGATAGACTATAGAAGAACAAGGGAAAGAGCAGAGAAATCAATTGAGAGGCTATGCTGCTGTCCACGGAACAGATGATAATGGCTTAGATCAAGGTGGTACCAGTGAGTTAGTGAGAAAAGTTATATTTTGAAGATAATGAACAAGATTTCTTGATGGACTGGATGTGGGAAGGAAGAGAAGAGTTAAGGATGATACATAGGATGATTGAGTTTGGAAGCTTAGAGTTTGGGAGTATTTTTGTCTTCATTGTCTTGTGTCCCAGCTTTAGGAAATGGTCAGAGCCAGGACAAGAATAATGAATGAACTATCTTATCTTGTAAATGTTGTTGAAGCAATAAAATTTATCTTTTCTTTTTTTTATTTAAATCTTTTATTTATTTATTTATTTTTAATTTTTAATGTAAAGATGTGGGATACAATTCAGGGTTAGGTATACAATCATTGATCATGCAGTTACCCCTATCTTTTCACTTACAGAGAATCCAGTCAACAAAGGGAATCTTTAGATTTATTAGACACTTCTGAAGAAGAGTCTAGACACGGTGTCACTGAAGAGGATTTAATAGCATTTGCATCAAAAACAGAAGAGCCTTTGTCAAAAAGAAAAGAATACCCATCTTCTTCCTCTGCTTCCTCCACATCCTCCTCTTTCTCCTCTACTGAATCTGAATATTCTGAATCTATTGGTGAGTAGAAGAGTTTTTTGAATTCAGACTTCTTCTTTATGAAACTTCCCAATTTTAAGCAAAGTTCTCCTATTATAATTGCTTTCCAGTTTTCTGGTCTTAATTATTTTATTTGTGCTTCTTAATTTCCATTATACTTTTGCTTACTTTGGATAAGTGTGACTGTGGTTTTCTTTGCTCATTGTAAAAAGTGGTCTCTTGATAATACACCCTTTTCCCTCCTTGCTTCCTGTTTCTGCTTTCATCCTCACCTTTCTACCCACACCATAGGATTTACCCAGCTTTTACAAATCTAGACATGTTTTTTATGAAGCATTCCTCTCTACAGGTCAGTTGGACTGGGAGACTCTTGTGCACCAGAATCTGCCTGGGCTAATGGATATGGATCAGGATGACCGCATTGTTTGGCCCAGAGATTCGTTGTTCCGATATTTCGAGTTGCTAGAAAAGCTTCAGTATAACCTAGAGGAGCGTAAGAAGTTGCAAGAGTTTGCAGGTATGGCATTAGGGCAGTCATGAGGACCAGAAATTAAGTACCCGGGAATCTATAGCATATGTAGCTGGGGAGATGAAGGAGAGTGTCCACTATTCTGGTATCTCAGCCTCTTAATTTCTGCCTCATACCTAAAATAGGCAAATTATTGGTTTGGTATGTCACATTCAGGGTACATGTCTCAATTTTCTCTAACTGAAAAAGAGCCTAGAAACCCTGCTTTTCTCTACAGGGTACACCTAAATCCTATGAGATCTAAGAGCGTGTTTCTTTTTTTTTTTTTTTTTTTGAGTTGGAGTCTCACTCTGTTGCCCAGACTGGAGTGCAATAACCGCTTCCGGCCACTGCAGCCTCAACCTGCTGGGCTCTGGTGATCCTTCTGCCTCAGCCTTCTGCGTAGCAGGAATTACAGGCACGCGCTACCACGCCTGACTGATTTTTGATTTATTGTAGAGATGAGGTCTCGCCAAGTTGCCCAGGAGGCTCTCGAACCCATGGGCTCAGACAATCCATTCACCTCAGCCTCCCAAAGCGCGGGATTACAGGCTGAGTCACCCAGCCCGGCTAGAACGTGTTTCTTAAGAAGAGACTGTCTAATTCCAGCTGTTGAGAATTAGGACAAGGTGGACTTTTGCTTAACTTGGACAGTCCATCCCCTTCTGTATATGTTCCTCTCTTTGAAGGTCACATTTCAGACTTGAGCAGCAGAGCCTCAGGCTCAAGTTGGATAGCTATGGGAATCGGATAGTAAGCAGAAGGCCCACAAGTGCCCACTGCCTCAACCCACAAAAGAGGTTTATGAATTTCAGAACTGGGCTCAGTGGCTCAGCCTGTAATCCCGTGCCTTTGGGAGGCTGAGGTGAATGGATTGCCTGAGCCCGTGGGTTCGAGAGCCGCCTGGG